TTTTGATTTAAGTTTGCTTGTTTAGCGTCGTCACAGTTGCTAGGTGACATGACATACGCCGGGGTAAGGAGGGGAGGCTAGACCGTCCAAATTCAGCCTCTTTTTTTCCGGTCTACCCGGTCTACCAAGGACCCGGCCCGCCTCGACCAGGTAGTCTGGGTCCTCCGGAGGACCCGGCCTGTCGTTTTGGACACAGCTATTGAAGAGTAAAGGCTCTCACATACTCAAGCGTACTGTGTGCGGTCTGTGAGCCACGCGGACTCCGCACATATTGTCCGCGGACGGTTGAGACATCATACTCGAGCGTACTGACCGCCTGACAAATTCTTTAATTTCTCGCAATTTCAGTCATGACGTCAAGGATCAGGAGGAAGAGATAGTTTGCATTTTAGCTTTAAAACAATAAAAGAAAAAAAGAAATGAACTACCTTACCCCAGGATCTGAGCTATTTCCTCCCACAAATTTGTTGCTCGCTGAAAGTCTTTATATTCCTTCATTGACGCATCATAAAGTTTTCTAATCTCCTCCATGAGATGCTTTTCAAGATTTGACTCCATTTCGTCCACAAATGACACTGATTCTCAACTTTATCAGCTTGATGTCGCACCCAGAGAACCATACATGCCATTGTGCGCACTGCAGATGTAAAAAAAAACGTATGCACGGACCAGTCCGGCAGACGTCCGCTTTGGGTCCGCAGTGAATCCGCGCGGACCTCCGCGGACCGAAGTAAGCCCGAGTATGTGGGGGCCTTTAGGACAGGAGGATTTGGAGCGCGTCTGAGGCACAGCTGAACCAGTGGCGCAGCGAGAGCGCATGCTGCGGGATTTCCTCCTGCTAAAACTACAGCTTTGGGATTTGGAAATAAAGTCTTGCTCACTTCTGATCACTTTGACTGGAGAAATGTTTTCTGATTTTAAAACTTTGGCTGAAGTGACGCTTGTTATTCCAGCAGTTGCAGCAGAGCGCAAGTTTAAACTTCAGAACGACTGGCGCAGATGTGCGTAACGTGAGATTTTTCTTAGAGACATTTTTTCGCATAAATCGAATCTATACTCATTTTGCTTTTATTTAATGATACTTTTAACACGGTGGAAGCGGTGCGTTATGACTGACCAAGGAGGCGTTATCTAATGTTGCAAACTGCAGCCATTAAATAACGTTTGTAGATTTATCTACTACTATTACTATTATTATTATTTATTTTCGTAAGGTAACTGAGTCAAAAGTGGGACAGTGTGTGTGCGTCATTGTGCGCGTTGGCCTGGTGTGGGTCAGATGTACTGTTTGCAGCCTAAGGTGCGCTGATTAGTTTTTCTCCAATAAAATCCTGCAGGCACAGCATCTGAGGCTGAACTGCAAAACCAACATGACAATAGCCACATTCTATGAATGTTTAGTCATTAGCATTTAAAAAAAGGAAATGACGGGTAAAAATTGATCATGACAGATTTTTTTTACCCTGTCGGTCAAAATGACGGACAGCAAAAAAGTCTAGCACAACCTCTGGTCCTCACAGAAGAAAACTAAGTGTGCCTTGGGCGGTATGACGGTATTGTGGTATTCCTCAGTATTGAAATCTGTGATGGTATTTAAAAATGTTGACAGTATTAACCATCTGGAGCCTAGTCACATGACCTGTTTGAATCGCTGTAGGCAGAAGGACACGCCTTTCTTTGAGGCTCTGATTCAGTTTGTATCAAAACAAGACACCATTTTTTTAAACTGTGTTGATAGTTCAAATAAAACCAGAGTTATGATAATAACTGTAATACTCAATACTGTGGTATCATCTCATAATACGTATATCAGTATGAAAAAACAACTGTCTTGAACCAACACATAAGTATAAATATCTGGCAAGGTAATACTGAGTTTCCATCATGTTCAGAGTTTGAATCCGTCATCATCATCAAACAGCTACATGAAGTGGCTGTTTGATGATGATGATGTCACCTCTGCCAGATGAAGGTAAGACTCTGTTCCCCAGAACTTCAATCATGTTGTGCAACAGCATACAGTAATCCAAGTTCAGTTATAGCTTTGCAAAGCTTTAAAGCTCCTGATGCAAACGAGCCAAAATAACACTGTGCACAATTACCAGCTGTGGTAACGTAAGTCAGCATGTTTTATTCATCATCTCTTATTTAAAACTGTATTATGCTTACACTAATACATGCATTGTGGTTATAAATGTGTAAATACGTACAGTGTGGTAAATTTATACTATATGTTGTTCCAGACCTCTGCTTCTAACTTTGCTGCATCAGAGGAGAACATCTGGCTGCCGCTGTACACCAGCTCGGAGCGAGTGAAGGTGGTCACACACGTCTCCCTGCCCTGTGGAGCCAACTCCAGCCTGTGGATCCAGACTGGAGCTGCTCTCTTCCTCAAACAGCAGTGAGAACAAAAGCTCTCAGATGCAACGATCTACATATCAGTCTAATTTGCACAGTGTGGTTCGAGCGAAAGAACCAAAGTGCGAGAAAAGAAGAAAAGGGACTTTGAATTAATACTTCACTAAAAAGTCCTTTTTTGTCTGAATAATCTAACGACAAACTGGAACAGTGTTTTTAATAAATCATAATCCTAATATTGTTCATTTTCAAGGCTGCATAAAACCTTGAGACATTTTAACTCACTTTCTGTCCTATAAAACTCTACTTTACATAAGTTATATATTTGATAAAATAGTGTAAAACTTTACAGTTATTCTTATTTAAAGGTGTGCTTCCAGCCTGAATGTTTGTTGTACAGTTATTCTGCTATGTAAGGTCTTTGCTGACCTCATTTATTGAAAATAAATATGAGACAAATCACTATTGTTGTACGTTTAGTAGTAGCAGTTATTGCATTCTGCTGTTGCGATGGCAAGCAACATTATATTTTTACTTTAGGTTCAGTTTGTTCTGTACGTGTAGGAGCTGAGAACAATGAAGGCTCCAGTGTTGGGATGTGTTTCTGTGTGTGTGTCAGAGCTGGTCTGGTCCTCCATGCATTACAATCAGCAGACAGAAGTTTTCTACAGTAAACAATGCCGATGGGTCTGAAAAGCAAGCAGATGGTGATCCTCCCTCAAACACACACATGCACAAGTCAGTCCCTAACCTCTGTGTGATTGGTTCGAGTCGAGGTTGAATGGAGTCAGTGAAGCTGTGATGGATGGCCACAGAGCAGCATGGGAGGTAAGTGTTTGTGTGTATGTTCATTTCTTACCAACAGCTTCCAGTTTGATTGATGGATTAATTAAGTCATCTTCTTTCTGTACCAGTCACTGCTTCAGTTCTCTTAATGTAGTCATGCAACTGTTTGTAAATGTGTTGACATGTGTAAGTTTATATTGGTGTGTCTGTGTGTGTGTGTGTGTGTGTTTGACCGTGGAGGCAGAGAAAAGAGCTGAAATGAGGGAGGAGCGGGTATTGTGTGCGCACTGCAGTGTGACAAAACGGGAGCGGAATGGAACAGCAGGTTTAAAAAAGTGAGAGGATTGGATTTCTGTAAAACGGGGCCCTCCGGGTCAGACAGGGAGGAGGGAAAAAAAGGATGGAGCAGAAAGAAAGAAATGGATGTTGTAGGAAACAGAGGCAAAAAAGTGATAAAAGACCATAAAGACTGAGTGAAAACTATTGAAGAGAAATAGAAAAATAAGGGAGGCACAGTTGACAGAAACACGAGGTTAAAGGTAAAGATGAACGAATGGGAGTTAGGACAAGTGGAGAGTGATTTACAGAAAAGGAAGGGTGGTGTGAGACTGCAATGTAAGGACGTAAAGATTATCCAGAATGAATCAAAAGACTAAACACTAGCATTTTAATAAATTCTTTTTTTAAAGTTTTTTTTATCCTCACCACATTTAACAAGATGTTTTAATTATTTATAATGAAAAATACATATCTTTCAAAAAATGACACTTTTACTGGGGCTTAAGACATTGCTAACAATGATTACAGCAGTATAGGCTATAATATTTTTGTTTTCATTAAATAATATAAGAATTAACACAAAAAATAATTTAAATCCTAACTTTTATTGTTTTTTTTTCTTTACACATACCTGGTATATTTATTACATGTTGCTCTTATCAACTTGAAAGACATATTCAGGCTGCCAGCTGAGATCCAAAACAAAGAGAACTTAATGTGATTAAAACCTTAATAAGAGATGGTTTCAGCTGTAGATATGATTAGGATTTTACACATTTAGATCATAAAATAATTTAAGGAGAAAACCTAAAACTGGAATTAATGATGCTCCACAAGTTCACAGAAAGGTTTCGAGTGCCTACGCTTTTAGTTTGGGTCATAATGTCTGGTTTCATGGAGATGGTGAAACATTTTGTTAAAAAAATAGCTATTTTGTTATTGGATGATCTTCAGTTGTTGCTTTAGTGTGTTCATTTGAATTTGTGAGAAATCCACAGATCAGAACAATGACTAAAATGCAGCACAATTAACCAATACATTAACATTTTTTGCTAAAATTGTAGAATTGGAAATGTACCACCAACAATTATGACCACTCAGCAATGACCTTTCTACACTTCAAACCCTTCTACTTCTTCCTTCTTCGCTTTATTGACAATTTTTGAACTTTCTTTGCTTTCTTGTGTTGTTTAAGCAACAATACAGCTCAAGGGTGATGGATGCCAGACATAAATTTTTCTGCAAATTTGATAATATACCCCATAACTTTTAGGCTAAAATGATTAAAATGCAATGACATAAACAGAAAGAATAGAGCGCGATATTTAGATTTGTTTCACTATAATTAGTCCTGCTGAGACTGGAGTCTGAGCTGTACACTCAACATTTTGTCGTCTTATCATAACTTGTTTGATCAAGTCTGACCCTGGTATTTCAGCTTTTGGCAACCAGCTTGTTAATTGGCCCAGTTTCTGTGTCGAACTTCATCAAAACAAAAGCAGTAAAATATATGAGCTCCTTTAAGTTGGAGGACCACAGAAACCACAGAAGAGCCACAGCCAGCAGCCTGAAACATCAAAGCCCAGACTTCACTCACACCACAGCCAAGCCATAAAATTACCTCTCTGAGCATCATAGCATTTGTCAAAATTAGTTTAATCGAAGCAGATATGAGTGGCATTTGACTTTTTCCATCACACGCCATCTGTGCCTGCTGGAGTCCAGGGCTGGAAAACCGGTCCCTGGGGATCATGGTGATGACACCTCTGGTCTCTCCCTCTGCCTTCAGCAGCCTCACAATGCACACGGTGCAATCCAAACATTTCACTGAGCTCCCCCCAACACACACACACACACCCCAAACCCCAAATAAATGCTCTGGACAACAGAAGAAGCCTCCGCACGTCTCACTCAACAGATTGGTTTCAGGGATTGAAACAGACAAGTCAAATGCACAAGAGGACAATGGAAGGGATGGAAATCCACCTCAAGAAAGCAGAGTGGAGGAGGTCTGGAAGAGGATAAAAAATACTGGGAGGGATTCAAAATGTTGGGAAGAGCAGGATCCTGGTATCAGGTGTGTTCAGTTAACAAAAAGACAATGAATGGTGTGTGATACCTGATGTGTTATCTATCAACAATTCTACATGAAAGAGACAGTTCAGATAGATAGTTTTGACTAATGATTGCAGAGCTAATGGCTAGACTGAGCAAGGCCAAAAACAAATTGAACTGATGATAATTAAAACAGCCCCAGTTACAAAGTTTCGTAATGATATATGTGAACACTAAACATTTACATCTAATCATTTGCGTTACACCGTCACTACCACAGTTATGCTCCAGAATGCTTCACAATGGCTTCAGCTAGCTACTGTTGTTGGTTGTGCTTGCAAATAACTCAGCAATCGCATATACCTAACTGTGTAAAGTCAAATCATATGCAATGTAAAGGTTTATAGAATAAACTCAACGTATAAGAACATTTAAAAACATTTACAAAACAGGTTACATCACTGTAATAAACCACTGCAGCAACACTAACTGTTTCGTTGATTGCTGGTTTTTCACCATCAGTTTAAAATTACACAATTATTCTGACATTAATATTTTAAATATGTAAGAAAAATGTATGCTGGCTAGCAAGCCTCACACGGCCAGCACCATAAATATGTAGGGTAATTTAA